CCTGGAGTGCTGCAGGGGGTTGTTGTGACCCAAGGGCAGGACCTGCCACATTGTTGAACCTCATCCTTATCAGCTGAGAGGATCCCAGCCCTCCTTTGAGCTGCACTGCAGAACAGAACTGAGGTTTCTATGGTGTCCTTGTCAGGTCCAGACTAAACCTGGAATTTCTGCCACCTCAGCTCCTACAACCTGACATTTTATATTTCATTGAAACAGACTGGAAGGATCCAGCTCATACAGTGATGCCCCAAATGAAAGACTCATTCTGAAGTGTACTGTTATAACTCATTAGACCAAGTGTCCTTACATAAATTATTCCAGATGATGGCAAAAAATTAACTTAATGTTCTAGACAAAAGATGTCAAGGTTAATGATTCAATCAGGAGAAAAAGTGCCAGAGGGAAAAAACCTCCATATGACAGATGTTGGGATATGAAATGGATAAAAAGAATTACAGATTTAAGAACTGAAGATGGCACCTACAAGAACCCAACCTCCCCCACTTGCACAGTCCCAGGCTGTATTTTACATTGAGGTTCCTCAAATAAACAAACCTTTGCTCTTCCATATTATATTTTCTCCAAACAAATCCTCCAAGACCTATATTTATACCACTAAATGCTTGAAAAAAACCCTTCAAACACGAAGCTGATTCCAGGGGGTGGTGTGAAAATCAGCCTGTTCAACGCCAGCGTGTGTCTCACCCAATCTGTACCTTGGCTCTGTGCCTCCAGCTCCGTGTGAGAGCCAGGCATGGGGTGGTATTTAAAGCTCTAATTCATTCCACCAGCTCGTACTACAGGACTTGTGTGTTGAGTGGAACGAAGACACTTTTTTCCCATCAAACCTGACCAAGTTTTGCCAAGAGTGAAGGAATCACAGTGTTAAAGACATCGAGGGAACCCCCCTGTCCTAGTTACAGGGGTTTATCACTCTGTGGGTATAACCAAACCTGTGTATTGTACCCCCTGTGCCATTCCTGATGGACTGGGAATAAAGGGATGGTTTGCAGCAGCTGCCCGGGGCACAGCTGACCCCTCAGCTTCCAGCTGGGTGTTGAAGAACCCTGTGAGGCTGGGGAGTGTTTCTTTGCTTTCACACCACCAGCCAGCCATGATAACCCCCTCCAGAGCCAGCCTGAGGGGCCACCTCTGCTCATGGGCCACAATGGACTGGCATAACAGGCAGCTACAAGGAGCCAGACCATCCAAGATTCCAAAGTTATCCCACGACTCACAGAGTTAAATCGCCCATTGTGGAACTCCCCGCCCTGGGGGAGGTCCTGGGCATTCCCACCTCAACCTGAGCATATATAATCTTGGGGGTTTGGGACTTCTGGGACCACTTGTCGGATCCAGAGGAGGACCAGAACTTCAGCACAACTGTGACCATCATCTGGACCAACAGGTTTCCTTTCCTTTTCCTTTGCCCCCAGGGGTGCTCAGAACACCCTTCTGTTCTTGTCCCAGGGTGCTGGGTTATACTTCTGTCTTTAAGGGTTAAAACCAGATTTTTCTCTGTATCCTTGTATTTATTGTAATCTGTTCTAGTAAATTGTAACTCTGCCTTGTGGTCTCTCGTGAGCTGGGTTCACTTCTCCTACCAGTTTACTTTTAACCCAGCACACCCCCCACTCTATGAATTGTCTTTTCTCTTTAAGTTTCTCACTTTTACTGAATATCAACTATATCAACTGTTGGAGAAAGACCAGAGGAGGTCACAAAGTTGATCAGAGGGATGGAGCAGCTCTGCTGTGAGTAAAGGCTGAGAGAACTGGGATTGTTCATCCTGGAGAAGGGAAGGCTCCAGGGAGACCTGAGAGCCCCTTCCAGTGCCTAAAGGGGCTCCAGGAGAGCTGGAGAGGGACTTGGGACAAGGGATGGAGGGACAGGACAAGGGGAATGGCTTCCCACTGCCAGAGGGCAGGGTGAGATGGGAGATTGGGAAGGAATTCTTGGCCGTGAGGGTGGGGAGGCCCAGGCCCAGGTTGCCCAGAGCAGCTGTGGCTGCCCCTGGATCCCTGGAAGTGTCCAAGGCCAGGCTGGACGGGGCTTGGAGCAACCTGGGCTAGTGGAAGGTGTCCCTGCCCATGGCAGGGGATGGAACAGGATGAGCTTTAATGTCCCTTCCAACCCAAACCATTCCATGATTCTAATGAATGTTTAATTAGGTAGGTATTGAAGTCTCACTGAAATAAAATACTGCCATGCTCAAGGCTGGGCTGTGGCCCCAGGATGCACCAGCTCCATTGTTTGCCTTGTCCCCAACCCACCTTCATCTGCCACTGCACTGAAGGACCTTTAGGGAAAACAAGAGCCATGCTCTGGTTTCACAAGGAAATATGGGGTTGGCCAGGTCCCTTGAATTTCAACAGAATCCTGGAATATCCTGAGCTGGAAGGGACCCACAGGGATCATCCAGCCCAACTCCTGGCCCTGCCCAGGACACCCCAACAATCCCACCCTGTCCCTCAGAGCGTTGTCCAAACGCTCCTGGAGCTCTGGCAGCCTTGGGGCCGTGCCCACTGCCCTAGGGAGCCTGGGCAGTGCCCCAGCACCCTCTGGGGGAAGAACCTTTCCCTGAGATCCATCCCAACCCCCCTGGCACAGCTCCAGCCCTTCCCTGGGTCCTGTCCCTGGTCCCAGAGCAGAGCTCAGTCCCTGCCCCTCCGCCTCCCCTCGGGAGGAGCTGCAGCCCCCGAGGAGTCTCCCCTCAGTCTCCTCTGCTCCAGCTGAACCAGCCGAGTGCCCTCAGCTGCTCCTCAGACCCTTCCCCTCCAGACCCTTCTCCATCTCCATGTTCCTCCTTTGGGTACTCTCTGATACTTTTTTATCTTTCTTATATGATGGTGCTAATTTTTAGCCAACCCTTTAAAAGGATGTAAAATGCCACCAGAAGTCCTCGTTATAAAGCCCAACTCAGCTGACTGAGCTTCAGTTCCTTGTTGCTTTTCCCTTATGGTAAATGTTTGCCCCCTTCATTCTGAATTGCTCCATCAAAGCCCAAATATTTTGTGTTTTCCTGCTGCGTGGTGACAAGGGCTAACCTCTCCCTCCACTCCCACAAAGGCTTTTGTGTTTCCTATGTTGCTGGGAGGGAAGGCCTGGAAGGCCTGTGCCTTGTTAGCTTTCCCTCTGCCTCCTTCACGCCCCAACGTGCTCTGTGTGACTTTAGTCTTTGCCTTTTGGCAGCCCCTGAGAGAAGGAATAGATTCAATACAGAATTTAATCTGTAGTTAAACAGAAAGACAGAATGGAATGGTCAGACGGGGAAGGTTTCAATCCTCTCCTGTGAAGCTGCAAAATGCCAGGTGGAACTGAAAGGCTGCTGGATTTATACAGCCCAAGGGAGCACAGTGTGGTGCAGAGCAGCTCCCTGGCTCCATCAGCAGCAAATCCTGCAGGAAAACCCACACGAAACTTATGAGGGTGCAAGCAAAGAACAACCAATCCTGAAACAAACTGCTTGGTCTGTTTTAAAAATATCCAAACTTTAATTAATCTTTTATGACTCTTGCTGTTGTCCTTTATTCCCACATGCTTTGCTACTTTATTTTAGGAGGTTTAGGATGGCCTCTAGTGGCCCACATGATGTGCAAGGAGAGACCCCTGTTTGGTTTGACTGAGCGGGGCTTGCACAGAACAGGGAACAGAGTGAAGCAGGGAAAACACCCTGGAGTGTTACTAAACAACCTCCAGACAACAACTCCTCCTTCATGTCAAACTGTAAATGTAATATCAATGTGATAGGACAGGGGGAATGGCTTTGGGCTGAAGGAGGGTGGATTTAAGTGGGATATTGAGAAGGAATTGTTGGCTGTGAGGGGGGTGAGGCCCTGGCACAGGTTGCCCAGAGCAGCTGTGGCTGCCCCTGGATCCCTGGAAGTGTCCAAGGCCAGGCTGGACGGGGCTTGGAGCCACCTGGGCCAGTGGAAGGTGTCCCTGCAGGAGGTGGAACTGGATGATTTTTAAGCTCTCTCCCAACACAAACCATTCTGGGATTCTGTGACACTTAACGAGGTGCATTTTTCACGCTAGAAACAAAACTGAGCATTTTCCAGGCTGTAATTTATTTTCATCTCTAAGAAAGCTGCCTTTGCAGAACTGCTGCCTAATTAGGACAGCAGGGATGTGCTCAGGGTTGAGGTGTGTGGTCAGCAGCGTCACTCTGGTATGAAATGAGATCCATGATCTCACTCTGGTCCCCAGAGGACACGTCTGAACATCTCCACGCACTGCTGGGACCTTCAGCTCTCTGGGTCCCTGAACATCACCTGAAGGAGTAGTTACAGTCCATTGGGTTCACTGTGATGCTGGAATTCAGGAGGCAAAGAACCATCCTGATTCATCCCTCTGAGGACACACCAGGAGCAGAAGAGGAGGGAATGTGCATCTCAGTCCCTTCCAGAGCCTTTGATCAGCACATTTCTGCCCAAAGTCTATTTGAGTTGGATTTTAATGACAAAACCACACAGGAGTGAGTTTTTTTAATGAGTTATTTCCTTTATTTGAGCCAAAGGTGCTGTGAGGAATTGCTCCTGCAAACCCAAATCCTCTCCTTGTGCTCTGTGAGAGAGTTGTGGGTAAAGGACCCCCTGAGTGATCATCTGTCTCTCCTTTCCCTGTCAAGCAGTTATTTGTCATCAACCCATTTTCTCATGGTCAATAATGATAATATTACTGTTGGGGACCTGCTTTGTTCCCAAACTTCAGCCCAATAAATCCTTTCTTTCTTTCTTTATTTAAAATTCAAGTACTTTTCTATTAATATTGCCACAACTCCATTTTTAGATGCCAAAACTTTGCATACAGAGCCTTCACCAGGCGATGTGGGACCTCAGCAAAGTCTCAAATGGATTCACAAAGAAAAGTGCATTTTTAGAACTAGAATTCAACATACTGGGCCCAAGGTTTTCTTGCCCAGATAAAAGCTCCTTAAGCTAAGCAGGGTTTAAGGTGTGTCTGCTCAGCTAACACAGCAACATGCCTGTATTACCTCAGTTACTTCCATAACATTTGGAATTTGCTTGCAGGGGGAGCAGAGTTGTGAGGAGCCTGAAACAATCTCTCCTTTGGCTGAGGAGTCTCAAGGCAACAAAATGACCTGGAAATGTTGCTCTGGGCGATATTTTACACAAAATATGCTCGTGGCCGTGGTATTTTATTTCAACATGTGCACAGGAACAGGTAGGATGGACCTTGTGTTAATTATTTCATGGAATGCTCCAGGGAACTGTGAACTTTTGTAATGAAGGAGGGAGGTTTTTTTAAAAGGGAATGTCTGTCTATATGTCAAATCTATACATATATTTTAAATTTAAATATTTTTAAGCTAAGCTTAGCGGTAGCAGAATGTATTCAAAAATTCCTGGAAAATATCCGTATACACAGGGCAGAGGCAGGAAATTAAGGCAGAAAATAGTTAAGATGTTTTCTAGTCATTTTGGATTATTCTGGGAGTAAAGAAGATGAAAAAAAAGGCCAAAATAGTCAAAATTGAGCATATTCCTTGTTGTGGGAAGAGAGGTTCGCTGCATGTTGTTCCCAGCTGTAACAGGGGACAGGAACTGGGAGGGAGGTTGAACAAGCAGTGGCTGATTCAGTCATGGATCAGAGCTGCACCTTCGGAATTTGAAATTGTCCTTACTAATTTTCCCGCTGGATACAGAAAGGAAGGACACCTCACTCCTTCAGATCTCTTTTAACCCAAAAAAGGGGAAATTTAGGTTTGAGATACAGAAGGAATTGTTCCCTGTGAGGGTGGGGAGGCCCTGGCACAGGTTGCCCAGAGCAGCTGTGGCTGCCCCTGGATCCCTGGAAGTGTCCAAGGCCAGGTTGGACGGGGCTTGGAGCAACCTGGGCTGTTGGAAGGTGTCCCTGCCCATGGCAGGGGGTGGCACTGGATGAGCTTTAAGGTCCCTTCCAATTCAAACCATCCATGATTGGCAGCTGTATAAGCCCAATTTCTAGGAATGATTCAGTGAGAGATTTTTTAACAGTTGATTTGTGCCCAAATCCCATTATTTGGTTAAACAGAACCCCCAAATCCAGCATCTTCAGGGATTTTTTTACCTCAGACTGCACATATCTGACATCTGAGGGTTCAGCACAGGAAAGAAAATGTGGCTGAAATTTCTGCCCACATAAACCTGTCCTAATCCTTCAGCACAGTGCAAGCACTAAGAGGTAAAATTGCAGTGGAGTCTAAGAATGTAAGAATAGGAGAATTATTGTGGTGTAAGAAGAAACTCCTAAAAAAAGGGTTTCAGTATTCATTAAATCATTAAAGCCCAAACCCACAGATTGCCCTCAAATAAATGTTCTACCAGTATCTGACACCTTAAATTGCCAGAATTAGGTGAACATCACCTAAAGCAGTGGCAGAGGGATAGTTACAGTCCATTGGGTTCATTGAGATGCTGGAAATCAGGAGGCAAAGCAGTTCCTATCTGTGACACAATGATCCCAAGTCATCCCTCTGTGGAAAGAAAAGGAGCACAAAAGGAGGTGAATTAGGAGGAGAATTAGGTGACAAAAAGCAACAATCATGAGGTGGAAATTTGGAATATGAAAAAAAAAAAAAAAAGAAGAAAGAAAGAGAAATTCTATATGTGAGTTTTAAAACAAAGAAAGGGTAAATCCAGCCAGGCTGGGTGGGGTTCTGAGCTCCCTGGTCCAGTGGAAGCTGTCCCTGCTCAGGCAGGGAGTTGGAACTGAGTGATCTTTGGGGTCCCTTCCAACCCAGTTCTTTATATGATTCTATAAATACTGGAATTATTGCAGAGAAAGCTTCTGCCTCCCTGAGGGAACATAGAGGACACTCCTCATCCTCAAGGATTGCTTGAGCAAGAGGGACTGTAATTCCTGGCTGGAAAGAATCTTGGGTCTGCTCCACAGAAGGGCTGTTTGGAGCAGATGGGTCAGGAGACCTGGTTCAGAGAAAAGACCCCAAAAGAAAAGAAAAATCCCACCCAAAAATTTCAGATTCTGCTGATCTGGAAGGGACCCACAAGGATCATCCAGTCCAACCCTTAGCCTTGCACAGGACATCCCTGAGAGTCACACTCTGTCCCTCAGTGTCCAAACACTTCTGGAGCTCTGGCAGCCTTGGGGCCGTGCCCACTGCCCTGGGGAGCCTGGGCAGTGCCTGACCACACTTTTTAATTAATTAAATTAAAATAAATTGGTTAACAAAATAATTAAATTCCTAAAAAACGATGAAAATCTTCTCCTCAGAAGCATTCCTTAATTTGTTCTGGGTACTGAGATCCATGTATTCCCTCAGCAGGTGCCAGGAGTGCAGGGCACGGCACAAACGTGAGGAAGATGCTGCAGGAGGCCAAACTCAGCATTTTGGGACCCGTGGCAGTGCCAGAGGGGAACTCTGGGCCTGGTATGACCAGAAGGACGGCCCTGGAGGACACATTTTGGCCCTTTGGGCGAAGGCCCACAAGTGAACTGGGCCAGCAGCCCCCCGGGGGCACAGAGCCCTCAGCCCACGGCCCAGAGCCCCCCAGGACACAAAGGGTGGACGTGTCGCTGTCCCTCATCCACCAGGGGGGAGGTGGGAACTCTCCAGAGCCTTCACCCCCCCCAGCACCCAAGGCTGGAGCCCTGCCAGCCCTGCACAGCTCCATCAGTGCCCAGGGCCCCTCTGCAGGTGTTCGGGTGGATCTCACCGTGCCTGGCGTGGGGGCAGTGGGGGACCCTGGGGGGAGCCCCTCACCCCTTGGCACCCTGGGACCACCCAGATGCCCTCACGACCCCAGGACTGACTGCAGCAGGGCCCCGACCTCAAGGACTCCCCTGGACTGGCTGGGCAGCACAGCTGCAGGTGAGGGGTTTTACATGTTCGTTACAAGTGATCAGCTGTTCCTTTTCTCTTATTTAGTAGTTTGAAACAGTTAATTTGGGGTCAGATCATCATCCTTCTGGTGGAAGGTGTCCCTGCCCATGGCATAGGGGTGGAGTGAGTGATCTTTAAGGTCTCTTCCAACCCAAACCATTCTGGGATTCTATGAACTCCTCTTGCAGAGGTGTTTTCAGTCCACCCCGAGTGTCATCTGAAATGAGTTGATATCCCTTAAACTAGGGAGATTTTGCATGATTTAAGGAACCTTTTCCTCTGAGGTGCATTATGGATGTCTGTTTATGCCTTAGAAACTCTCTCTGTGCTGTGGAATTGTTTTAATTCCCCATTATGGGCACCGAATTCCCCCCATGCAGTCCAAGAGATGCTGGGGACACTCAGGGCATGAGTTTGGGCTGCAAAACCAGAAACTTGTCTGCAGATTTCTGCCCTTTGACATCCAAAGGTTTTTGTTTGAGCATCCACTCACAGGAGCATTGTCCAAATTCTCTGTTATATTTGCCCTTTTAGCTTGATTGTCCATCAGGGTTGAGTCACGTTCCAATTTTAGGCAGGTACCTGCGTCAGAGGAGGGGTTTGGGTGTGGCAAAGGAGCTGTTGAGAGGACACCTGCTGAGACAACAGCAATCAACTCAAATTATGCCTTAATCCAGAAGTAAATGAAAATAAAATAGGGGGAAATCACTTCTTTCCACAGCCTGGTTTGTGTTCAAAATGCAGTTCTTGGTTAATGCCAGCAGAAGGAAGTATTCGGTTACAAAACAGACTGGTAAAACCTGATAAATCAATCATAGTTTAGTGAGAGTTCATCAACACAGGACACCTAAAGAATGAAAGTTATTATGAATTCCTTTTCAAGCCACTCAGAAAAGTTCTCAGGAGTTCCCACTGAGCTTTCCTTTGCCACAGCAGCACAAGTGCAAGAATTACCCCCGTTTCAGAGCTGAAGTTCTCTTAAGGAAGTTAATTCTTGGATCAAATGGCAGGTTTAAAAAGGAAATTATACCCAGCCTTGTTGAAGGTGCTGCATTCTTTCCAAACCATTTAGGCCTTTCCCTTCACTTTCATTTACTGGTGGGAAATCAGCAGTGCACATAACGAGCTGTTCCTGCCAGGGAGGTGCAAACACCTGAGCTGGGTTTGAAAGGAAATTATGTTGGATTATGCAAAGGTCACTGGAGAGACATGATCAAAGTGACACCTTTTACATCATGAAAATAGCACCACCTTATTTTTTTTAAAGGTATTTCTTATCATCCCATGTAGTGATTGTTGTCTCTCAAAGATGTTTGTGACAGATTTTACTGCCATGAGTAGATTTTGCCTGCAAATTTGATTAGTTTTTAGTATCAAGCCTCCCTTTTGGTGCAGGTGTCTGTGGAGCTCTTCCATCCAGGTTTTGACTCTCAGTGGACTAAAATAAGCAGCCTCCACTGGCAATTAGTACTTAAAATTCAGAGTGAAAACAGGGGATTTGTGCCTTTTTGCTTAAACCTCGAAGATCCTCAAAATTATTCCCAAAGCTCCTTTATTTCAATTTTATTTTTTAATACTGCATCCCTCTTCCTCTCCAAAGCTGGGATGGATCCCCTCCCCTCCAGTTTATTAACCCTTTTTATGTACAAAGGTCAAGCAAAATACAGATTGTGTAAAAGACAGCGGGGAACCAAGCAGAAAGGGCTGTGAATCACAAGCTGCTTCTCCCTTATAACACTTGAGGAAAGGTCAAGGATGTGCCTTCAACTCACCCAACTTCTTGCACAACCAGGCAGGAACACCCACGTCAGTCCCTCAGATCATGACATATGTGCTTGAGGTGATTTCAGACACTTTGGGAGCAACTTTTAATCTTTCTGTGTTACCTGAGCAGACCAAGCAATGAAGAGAGAGGGTCTTTGTACCACAGAAATGAATTTTCCAGAGAAATAAGATTTATGTGAACAAATCCAGGCTTCTAAAAACTATTTAATTACTCAACTAGGAAAACAGAATTTACATTGGTTTTGTTATTATTTATTTATTTATTACTAGTTCTTTACCTGTGTAAAGGGCTTTTTTAATATAAATTATCTCAAAAATTTACAAAAAATCTTGGATATTCAAAGCAGAATTGTCTCCTACAAGTTGTACAAGACAGGAAATACAACATGATTTTTCAATCCAATCAAACTTAATATTTCTCTAATATTCATAAACCAGCTGATTGAATTATATATAATTGGTTGATAGAGAATTTCCAGCTCATACAGACAAATATGTACTTTTCTACAGATATTGCCAGTTACTGTTTGAAAACTGACCCTCTAAACCTTGAACTGAGCTGGTAATGGAGCCTCTCTATCAGGTATTAAAAAGGTTTTGGCCCTTTCCCTGGTTTAGTGAGAACTGTTAACTAGAAACTAATGGAAAATGCAGATAAGAATTTATTTCTTTCTCTTGGGTCCACCTTGAACAAGAAATTTTGGGTTTGGAAGAAATGTGAGAGGAAAAGGAAACAGGATTCTGGAAGGAGAAAAAGGGCAAGACTTGAGGGATGAGGGAGCCCAGAGGCAGGTTCTGTACAAGTGTAGGTTTTCATTTCCCTTGTAGGTTAATCTGATAAAGAATTAAAGAGGGACAAAGCATCAAAGTCATTTAATAGTGGTGATGGTCCAAAATAGTTGCAAAGCTTTTTAATTATCATCTGAATTCGTGGATGTGGCAGTTCCTCCTTAAACTACACCGTTATCTACTGCCCCAGGTATCCAGCAATAGCAGCATGTGGGTTTGCTGAATTTTGCCACTTTACCCAGGAAACATTCCCTCAGAGAAGCTCTGAGGGGAAGAGGAGGGGCAGGCACTGATCTCTTCTCTGTTCTGACCAGGGACAGGACCTGAGGGAATGGCCTGAAGTTGTGCCAGGGAGGTTGGAATGGATCTCAGGGAAAGGTTCTTCCCCCACAGGGTGCTGGGGCACTGCCCAGGCTCCCCAGGGCAGTGGGCACAGCCCCAAGGCTGCCAGAGCTCCAGGAGCCTTTGGACAACGCTCTGAGGGACAGGGTGGGATTGTTGGGGTGTCTGTGCAGGGCCAGGAGTTGGGCTGGATGATCCCTGTGCGTCCCTTCCAACTCAGCGTGTCCTGTGATTCTCAATGGAAGAAATCCCAGGGGGGGATTGAGATCAAGCCAAGTTTGCAGTTTTGGCAGTGGATGTACCCTTGATCCCAAAGAATTAGCACAGCTCTGCTGGGAAGGAAGGATGAGACCAGTGAGCTTTTCTTATCAATCAAACCAGGCCTTCACTGCCCACAGGGACCCAGAGAACAGCATCAGGAAATGTTTGCTCGTTCCTCAGACAAAAGTTGTAATAGTGAAAGGTAAACTTCATTCTCCGCCAAACTGTTGCCTTCCCCTCTGTACCGTGTCCACCCTCAACTTAAATATCTCCTTCGTGAATGTGTGATTGTGGCCTCTTGAGGGTGTAGACTCGTCCCCATTCCTGCTCATTCATGCTCAGATTAACTCCCAGTGACCTTTTCAAGCAGCAAGTTTCTTATTTGCCTTCCCTAGAGGGAAAGTACCCGCTGGTGATTCTCAGCTGCTGGGGCTGTGAGGTGCAGGCAGGTGTGTCCCTCCCCAAATCCTCCTCCAGGCCCTGGCATTATGCAAGGGGCTTTGCTTTAAGAGCTTTCCCTGACCCACCGGCCTCGCCTGCTCCTGTCCCACACCAGGACACGAGAGCTCCGGAGCCGACCCCGGGCTCAGCTCGGGAAACTGAACTCCTGGGAGGGAGAAGGATGGATTGGACAATAAATTTACCTCGATATAAGATGAAGGTTCTGTGTGTTGTCGTAGCTTTATGCTGCTTTTCGGGTAAGTTTGATTTATCCGTTACTTGGAAAAACTTTGGCGATATATTTTAAGTTTAGCAGATTTTTCAAATTAAATTATTGCTGCTAAGAATGATAATTAAATAGAATGTATTTCATATTTATATTGTTAAACAATATAGAAATAATATATTATTATAATATAGATTATATATAATATAAAAAGAAAAATAATATATTTATAGAATATAAAATTATATATATTATATATAATATATGAATAGAATTATATATAATTAGATACTTAGATACAAATAAAATCTGTTATATTTATTTATAATCTATATATATAATCTCTCTATATAATCCATATATAATAGATATATAATCTAACATCTATATATTGATATCTATATATGATATAGATATACAAATATATAATCTAATATATCTCTATATTATATAGATATGCAATCTAAGTATGTAATTCTAGATATTCCATTTGTATCTAATCTTCAAACAATATTGATGATTAAATATATTCAGAATTTCACACAAGTGAAAAACTCTTTTTTTTCCAAAAACTTTGGGGTGATGTGTTGATTTTGTCCATTGCCTTGTCATTTTTTAGCATTTTACTCATGTTTTCATCGGTTAAAAGGAGAAAATAACAGAGAAGGAGACATTTGGTTTTCAGATCTATTGAATATAAATTGGGAGGTAATTACAAAAGCTGAGTTGCTCTAATTTCATTTAGCAAAAACCAGAATATAAACTGGGATATTTGTTTTTAGCAACCAAAGTTAATTTTGTTTTCTGAAAAGAATGAATGAGATGTTAATATTTACTTTATAAACCATGTACATTACTCAGTTCAATTCTGAATTCATAAAAAGAGAAAAAAAAAAGTCCAAAGCAGAAATGTTTCTAGAAAATAATCAGGCTAAAAATATTTTGAAAATTTTACAGTGTTTTCCAATTGCTTATTTTTTATCCCACATGAAAAAGTGGTACCTGAAAATCAAGAATAACATTTTCAATGGCAATGAAATGACAAAGATCTGAGGGTCTGGAGTGCTCCAGTCACTGAAATTATATTTCTTTTTAAATGAAAATTAACTTTGTAAATACCTCTGAATTTAAAATCTAGGAGGCATTTAACCATCTAAAGTTTCAATATTATTTTTTTTTGATTCAAGTTTGAATTACTTGATTTCTCTATGGAAAAGCAGTTTTGTGGTAGTGGTTACTCAAAGCTGTGTAAATCTCATTTTATGAAATAAAGAGGCCATTTAGGATTTGAAATCCCAGTGACTTTCAGAGCTGTCCAAGCACAGATACTCAGGAGAATTAATTCATATTATTAGAGAAGTTTCAAGTGCATTGGTGAAAACTATAAAATCATTTCTTCATACAACCTGCAGCTTAATTGGTATTAATTTTAAATTAAAGGCAATTAAGACTGTTTTAATTCTAAATTAAAGGAGAAACAGGAGTTGCTTTAAATGATATGTGCTCCAAAAACTTGCATAATGCAACAATTTGATTAATTTAGATTAATTTACTCTCTCCCAGTAGCCTTTTGCTGGTTTTGTCTGTGCTGGTGCAGAGGAATCTGCACAAGGATTTCAACCAGAGCCAGACTTTGAAATGCAGGTTGAGGTGAAAATATTCCCCTTTTGCCACTGGACTGCAAAAAAATTCCAGCTTCGTTTTAGAGCGTGAAAACTCTTGTCCTGGTGCCTGATTTCTGGGTGGGATCAGGGAATCCACGGTGTGTTGTACTGATGGAACTTTGATGTTTTGGGGAATTCTTTGTGAATGCACCAAATGCTCTCGTAGAAGCACAAATAATTCTGTTGTTAATTCTACAGTTTGCAATTCAATCTCAGTACTTCAGTGTATGCAAAATTGCTGCTTAAATATGAATATACCCAATTAATGTTGGACAAACGTGGGTCACTGGTCAGAGAACTTTGGGATGCACAGATGTGGGATACAGAAGGGTGGGATAGAGAGAATTTAGCTCTGTGAGTCACCAGACCTCTCTGCCACGAGAGGCTTTGGTCCCCTCCTTCGGTATTCCCAAAAAAAACCTGGCAAAACCATTAGACCTTGCCAGGAATGGCTTAAAACCCCCAGAGAATAGAGCAAAAAAGGCAGAATTTAACCATTGTCTAAATATTTATGTAGAAAATAAATTACATTTATTTTCTATGTACAGAATATATATATATATAATTTATATATAATATACAAATATTATATGTGTGTATATATTATATGTATATATATATTAAAAAAGGATATAAATACACAAGGGTACAGGGATGCCAAGAAAAAACTCCCTGCTCATTCCTGATATTTATACAGATTTGCATCCTTTTTTTACTAGGAAACGTGTTTTCATTGAATCCCAGGATAGTTTGAGTTGGAAGGGACCTTAAAGCTCATCCAGTGCCACCCCCTACCATGGGCAGGGACACTTCCCACTGGCCCAGGTGGCTCCAAGCCCCGTCCAACCTGGCCTTGGACACTTCCAGGGATGGAGCAGCCACAGCTGCTCTGGGCAACCTGTGCCAGGGCCTCACCTCCCTCACAGGGAAGGATTATTCCCAATATCCCATCTAACCCTGCCCCAGGCAGTGGGAAGCCATTCCCCTTGTCCTGTCCCTCCAACATCTTAATGTGTATCTTTAATTCTCAAAACTGTAATGTTTGATATCATGACTGTTAATGTGAATGAACACATAAACAACTCCGAGATAGGCCTTGGTTGAGTCTTGAATCTAAAAAGACAACAAAGATTAAGGAACAGGGAAGGGACAGGGCATTATTTTGGAATATAATAGACAGAACTGTGCCTTGCCTTGGAGTGGATCACAGCTCCCAAGTGCTGCTGAGGAGGAGAACTCATCAGTGTGGCAATACAGCCACAAACAGTGCTGGTGGCTCGGGGCCGGGTGGCTGCAGGTGGGTGGCAGTGCCAGGAGGACACACAAAACCCCACACAGATTCCTCCCTTCCCTCGTCCAACTGGTGTTTTGTGACAACAAAGGTATTTGATGTGATTCAGCCGCTCTGCTCCACCCTGGGGAGACCCCACCTGGAGTCCTGACCCAGCTCTGGGGTCCCCAACACGGGAAGGCCATGGACCTGTTGGAATGAGTCCAGAGGAGGCACCAGGGTGGTTAGAGGGATGGGGCACCTCTAGTATGAGGAAAGGCTGGGAAAATTGAGATTGATCAGCCTGGAGGAGAGAAGGCTCCAGGGAGACCTGAGAGCCCCCTCCAGGGCCTAAAGGGGCTCCAGGAGAGCTGGAGAGGGATTTGGGACAAGGGATAGAGGGACAGGACGAGGGGGAATGGCTTCCCAGTGCCAGAGGACAGGGTGAGATGGGATATTGGGAAGGAATTCTTGGCTGTGAGGGTGGGGAGCCCTGGCCCAGGTTGCCCAGAGAAGCTGTGGCTGCCCCATCCCTGGAAGTGTCCAAGGCCAGGTTGGACAGGGCTTGGAGCAACCTGGGCCAGTGGAAAGTGTCCCTGCCCATGGTAAAGGAGTAGAACAAGATGGGCTTTAAGGTCCCTTCCAACTCAGGCTAATCTATAATTCCATGATTCTATGAAGTTGTTTGCGAGGATGCTGGAATATGATGGTGATTCCTTACATTACCAACAGCTTGGTCTCCGTGCCTCTTCCTTCCCCATCCTTTCCCTCTGCAAGGGCACTAACTGAGGCAGAACATCCCCCCTGCTCATTTCCTGGTGGGTGTCAAGCACAGGCATTACTAACCAGGCTGGAATGTCTCACCCAAGAGAATCTTCTGAGGTGACACAACCAACCTGACAAGGGAGAGACCGGGGAGGTGTGGGGTGTGATTGCTCTGGAGGATTGTTAACAGAATGAGCCCCTCCTTAGAAACACATAATGGAGATGATTTTGAACTTTGGTGAATACCTCGGGGGAAGAGAGTAATTTATTTAGGCTCACAAACACACACCTATTGTGTTGTTGTCACTGAAGTAGCTATGGATGAATAGCAGATTTTTCAGGTATGACCAATTCATAAAGCTTGAGAAAGTAGAGGGTATGCATATGTAATGCTTACAGAAATAGCAGCCTGAAAAATGTAGACTTGTTCAGAGTATTTTTCTTGACCTCCATATTGATCCAATTGGGTATCTTCTTCTGCTTTGGAATATGGGAATTACAGACAAGACTTAAGTCCCTCAGTGAAATATATTCAAATCCTGAAACAGCTCAGTCTACTCAAGGAGATGCTCTGGAAAACTCTGAACATTCAACCTCTGGCCCTCTTTCCACTGCTTATGGAAAATGGGAGACACCCCAAGGAACTGGGGATGGGCAGGAACACGATTTCTCATTGGAAAGGAAGGACCTTGTTTTGTGGGGAATTCTCTGCAAACTATCTTTACTGTAATAAGCAGAAAATCGAAGATAATAGTAAGAATTAACAAGACCATATCAAAATTAAAGTGTGAAGAAGTACCAAAAGGAAGGAATTGTGCCGACCTGATTCAGTTTCCTTTTCGACAAGAGGTTTTGACCAAAGGGAAACCCTCAGCTGTAGTAAGAATTTAATCAGAGAATAAATTTGAACAGTGATTGACATGTATGTATGGCCAGTCTTCGCAAACGAAGATTTGGGAAAGGTCATTACCCTTCGAGCCTGCGCAGTGGATTTTTTAGGTGAGACACTGTGTGTGCTGAACTGAGCCCACCCTTTAATCCTGAGGTTCATCTGCCAGGGCCGAGCGAGCTCGGACGGTGGCAGCGAGGTCCTCAGGACGTAGGTTTGTTTAGAGTGACCTTCTCTTAGATGGATGGCCTTACAGGGCTGATGAGCTCCATCTGCCCGGAGGGGTTCCCTGACCGGGAATCGAACCCAGGCTGTGGCGGTGAGAGCGCTGCATCCTAACCACTAGACCACCAGGGGACCCCCAGTGATTGACATAACACTTTCCTAAAAGAAGAAATTTTCCAGTGTAGAGAGAAATCCTCAGGGATGGCTGTTACTGGATGTTCTCTTCTGGGTTTGGGTGAAAGAATAAGGATGAAACACCCTCATAACAATTAATGCTCAGTAATAACTGAGATATTTCAAATGTCACCATTTAAACTTCTGAGCCTTAGGGACAATTTTCCGTGAATTCTTTGAAAGATTCTCTGTGAAATGATCAAAGTTGGGAATCCTGCAAATATATTGGAAGATGAGATTTAAGGTTGACTTAGGTTAGATATTCAGAAGAAGTTCTTCCCTGTGAGGGTGTTGGGGCCCTAGCATAGGTTGCCCAGAGAAGCTGTGGCTGCCCCTGGATCCCTGGAAGAGTCCAAGGCCAGGTTGGATGGGACTTGGAGCAACGTAGACTAGTAGAAAGTGTCCTTGACCATGGCAGGGGGTGGAATGAGATGAGTTTTAATGGCCCTTCCAACGCAAATAGTTCTATGATAAGGTCATATAATAAAGTCCTTCAGGAGCAAATGATTCCTGATTAATTTCAATTCTCAGTTTAAAGAGACATAACTGTACAGACGTATTTCCTATAATCCACGATAAAAGAAATCTCCAAATATAGATTTTTGTAAAAATAGAAACAAAGCTGCAAAAAGATTATTTAATAATCAGAAGATTCAGAGCGAAAAATGTTTGAATAATATAGAAAATTAAAATGGCAGAAGTTTTCAAAGGGTACCTACAAAAACAATTTATATTTCAGGCAAGTCACTACAGGAGAATACAGAGACAAAAAGCACAGTTGAAGTAATGACGACAGTTGCTAAAATGACAAATACATCTACTACAACTGATAAGAAACAGACAAATTCGAAAACTACAAAGATATATAGGACCCAACAAATGAACACAACGGCTGAGAAGGTGACTACAATTTCGACGTCGTCAACTCAGGAACAAATTTCGAACCTTGAGACAACATCGACAGCTATTGGAAGGACGCCACTCACCAACTCCTCCACTGGTGCCTCTACAGCCACGTCAACTCTTGAGGCCACCACGTTGGCCACCTCAACAATGGGGGAACCTTCCACCTCAGGGTCCGAGGGCACCTCTCCTGAGACTGTGGCTTCAACCTCTTCCACTCGCGCTCCAACGTCTACACTTCAAAGCAGTCCAAGGTCCGTCTCCACCACAGCACAAAGCTCCAGCCCAGCTCCTGGAATGACCACTGCAGTCCCTCCCAGCTCAGCTGGAACATCCACTCGTGCTCAAGTCACAAGTGCTGCTACAGAGACAAGAGAGGCGACCAGCACGGTCCGTGCACAAACATCCTCCTCTGCTCCTGGGACAAGCCAGGAGAGCACCTCCGCTCTTCCTCTGAGCTCTACTCTGGAGACCACTTCCCCAACTCTCACCACAACTACACCCACCAGCTCCTCTACTGGTGCCTCTACAGCCACGTCAACCCTTGAGGCCACCTCCACAATGGGGGAACCTTCCACCTCAGTGTCCCAGGGCACCTCTCCTGAGAGTGCGGCTTCAACCTCTTCCACTCACGCTCCAACGTCTACACTTCAAAGCAGTCCAAGGTTCCGTCTCCACCACAGCACAAAGCTCCAGCCAGCTCCTGGAATGACCACTGCAGTCCCTCCCAGCTCAGCTGGAACATCCACTCGTGCTCAAGTCACAAGCGCTGCTACAGAGACAAGAGAGGCGACCAGCACGGTCCGTGCACAAACATCCTCCTCTGCTCCTGGGACAAGCCAGGAGAGCACCTCCGCTCTTCCTCTGAGCTCTACTCTGGAGACCACTTCCCCAACTCTCACCACAACTACACCCACCTCTACGCCACCCACCAGCTCCTCTACTGGTGCCTCTACAGCCACGTCAACCCTTGAGGCCACCTCCACAATGGGGGAACCTTCCACCTCAGTGTCCCAGGGCACCTCTCCTGAGACTGCGGCTTCAACCTCTTCCACTCGCGCTCCAACGTCTACACTTCAAAGCAGTCCAAGGTCCGTCTCCACCACAGCACAAAGCTCCAGCCCAGCTCCTGGAATGACCACTGCAGTCCCTCCCAGCTCAGCTGGAACATCCACTCGTGCTCAAGTCACAAGCGCTGCTACAGAGACAAGAGAGGCGACCAGCACGGTCCGTGCACAAACATCCTCCTCTGCTCCTGGGACAAGCCAGGAGAGCACCTCCGCTCTTCCTCTGAGCTCTACTCTGGAGACCACTTCCCCAACTCTCACCACAACTACACCCACCTCTACGCCACCCACCAGCTCCTCTACTGGTGCCTCTACAGCCACGTCAACCCTTGAGGCCACCTCCACAATGGGGGAACCTTCCACCTCAGTGTCCCAGGGCACCTCTCCTGAGACTGCGGCTTCAACCTCTTCCACTCGCGCTCCAACGTCTACTCTTGAGACAACGCCCAGGCTCGTCTCCACCACAGCACAAAGCTCCAGCCCAGCTCCTGGAACGACCACTGCAGTCCCTCCCAGCTCAGCTGGAACATCCACTCGTGCTCAAGTCACAAGCGCTGCTACAGAGACAAGAGAGGCGACCAGCACGGTCCATGCACAAACATCCTCCTCTGCTCCTGGGACAAGCCCAACTGCTGAGAGCACCTCCGCTCTTCCTCTGAGCTCTACTCTGGAGACCACTTCCCCAACTCTCACCACAACTACACCCACCTCTACGCCACCCACCAGCTCCTCTACTGGTGCCTCTACAGCCACGTCAACCCTTGAGGCCACCTCCACAATGGGGGAACCTTCCACCTCAGTGTCCCAGGGCACCTCTCCTGAGACTGCGGCTTCAACCTCTTCCACTCGCGCTCCAACGTCTACACTTCAAAGCAGTCCAAGGTCCGTCTCCACCACAGCACAAAGCTCCAACCCAGCTCCTGGAACGACCACTGCAGTCCCTCCCAGCTCAGCTGGAACATCCACTCGTGCTCAAGTCACAAGCGCTGCTACAGAGACAAGAGAGGCGACCAGCACGGTCCGTGCACAAACATCCTCCTCTGCTCCTGGGACAAGCCAGGAGAGCACCTCCGCTCTTCCTCTGAGCTCTACTCTGGAGACCACTTCCCCAACTCTCACCACAACTACACCCACCTCTACGCCTCCCACCAGCTCCTCTACTGGTGCCTCTACAGCCACGTCAACCCTTGAGGCCACCTCCACAATGGGGGAACCTTCCACCTCAGTGTCCCAGGGCACCTCTCCTGAGACTGCGGCTTCAACCTCTTCCACTCGCGCTCCAACGTCTACACTTCAAAGCAGTCCAAGGTCCGTCTCCACCACAGCACAAAGCTCCAGCCCAGCTCCTGGAATGACCACTGCAGTCCCTCCCAGCTCAGCTGGAACATCCACTCGTGCTCAAGTCACAAGCGCTGCTACAGAGACAAGAGAGGCGACCAGCACGGTCCGTGCACAAACATCCTCCTCTGCTCCTGGGACAAGCCAGGAGAGCACCTCCGCTCTTCCTCTGAGCTCTACTCTGGAGACCACTTCCCCAACTCTCACCACAACTACACCCACCAGCTCCTCTACTGGTGCCTCTACAGCCACGTCAACCCTTGAGGCCACCTCCACAATGGGGGAACCTTCCACCTCAGTGTCCCAGGGCACCTCTCCTGAGACTGCGGCTTCAACCTCTTCCACTCGCGCTCCAACGTCTACACTTCAAAGCAGTCCAAGGTCCGTCTCCACCACAGCACAAAGCTCCAGCCCAGCTCCTGGAACGACCACTGCAGTCCCTCCCAGCTCAGCTGGAACATCCACTCGTGCTCAAGTCACAGGCGCTGCTCCAGAGACAAGAGAGGCGACCAGCACGGTCCGTGCACAAACATCCTCCTCTGCTCCTGGGACAAGCCAGGAGAGCACCTCCGCTCTTCCTCTGAGCTCTACTCTGGAGACCACTTCCCCAACTCTCACCACAACTACACCCACCAGCTCCTCTACTGGTGCCTCTACAGCCACGTCAACCCTTGAGGCCACCTCCACAATGGGGGAACCTTCCACCTCAGTGTCCCAGGGCACCTCTCCTGAGACTGCGGCTTCAACCTCTTCCACTCGCGCTCCAACGTCTACTCTTGAGACAACGCCCAGGTTCGTCTCCACCACAGCACAAAGCTCCAGCCCAGCTCCTGGAACGACCACTGCAGTCCCTCCCAGCTCAGCTGGAACATCCACTCGTGCTCAAGTCACAGGCGCTGCTACAGAGACAAGAGAGGCGACCAGCACGGTCCGTGCACAAACATCCTCCTCTGCTCCTGGGACAAGCCAGGAGAGCACCTCCGCTCTTCCTCTGAGCTCTACTCTGGAGACCACTTCCCCAACTCTCACCACAACTACACCCACCAGCTCCTCTACTGGTGCCTCTACAGCCACGTCAACCCTTGAGGCCACCTCCACAATGGGGGAACCTTCCACCTCAGTGTCCCAGGGCACCTCTCCTGAGACTGCGGCTTCAACCTCTTCCACTCGCGCTCCAACGTCTACTCTTGAGACAACGCCCAGGCTCGACTCCACCACAGCACAAAGCTCCAGCCCAGCTCCTGGAATGACCACTGCAGTCCCTCCCAGCTCAGCTGGAACATCCACTCGTGCTCAAGTCACAGGCGCTGCTACAGAGACAAGAGAGGGACCCAGCACGTTCGTGCACCAAACATCCTCCTTGCTCCTGACACGACAGGAGCAGCACATCCGCTCTCCTTGCGCTCTACTTGGAGACCCACCTTCCCAACTCTCACCACAACTACACCCACCAGCTCCTCTACTGGTGCCTCTACAGCCACGTCAACCCTTGAGGCCACCTCCACAATGGGGGAACCTTCCACCTCAGTGTCCCAGGGCACCTCTCCTGAGACTGCGGCTTCAACCTCTTCCACTCGCGCTCCAACGTCTACTCTTGAGACAACGCCCAGACTCGTCTCCACCACAGCACAAAGCTCCAGCCCAGCTCCTGGAACGACCACTGCAGTCCCTCCCAGCTCAGCTGGAACATCCACTCGTGCTCAAGTCACAGGCGCTGCTACAGAGACAAGAGAGGCGACCAGCACGGTCCGTGCACAAACATCCTCCTCTGCTCCTGGGACAAGCCAGGAGAGCACCTCCGCTCTTCCTCTGAGCTCTACTCTGGAGACCACTTCCCCAACTCTCACCACAACTACACCCACCAGCTCCTCTACTGGTGCCTCTACAGCCACGTCAACCCTTGAGGCCACCTCCACAATGGGGGAACCTTCCACCTCAGTGTCCCAGGGAACTTCTCCTGAGACTGCGGCTTCAACCTCTTCCACTCGCGCTCCAACGTCTACACTTCAAAGCAGTACAAGGTCCGTCTCCACCACAGCACAAAGCTCCAACCCAGCTCCTGGAATGACCACTGCAGTCCCTCCCAGCTCAGCTGGAACATCCACTCGTGCTCAAGTCACAAGCGCTGCTACAGAGACAAGAGAGGCGACCAGCACGGTCCATGCACAAACATCCTCCTCTGCTCCTGGGACAAGCCCAACTGCTGAGAGCACCTCCGCTCTTCCTCTGAGCTCTACTCTGGAGACCACTTCCCCAACTCTCACCACAACTACACCCACCTCTACGCCACCCACCAGCTCCTCTACTGGTGCCTCTACAGCCACGTCAACCCTTGAGGCCACCTCCACAATGGGGGAACCTTCCACCTCAGTGTCCCAGGGCACCTCTCCTGAGACTGTGGCTTCAACCTTTTCCCCTCAGGAAGAAACATCCCCTCTTCAGACCACCTCCACAGTGTTCTCCACCGCCACACGAGGCTCTAGCACAGCTCTTGAAATGACCACTTCTCACGTCATTGTCTCCACAGCAGCTCCATTTTCTACTCAGACATCTCTCGTTTCTGTTCCTGCTCTCAGCAGTACAGTGTATTTTCGAACGACTGTGATACCTGATGTTAATACTGCTCTCAAAACAAGTAAGTAATGCAGCAATCAGTGTTAATATTATTAAATTTCTGCCAATGCATCTTGGCCCTTATTTCGATTTAATAAATATTATTTTTATTTTAATTTCTTGTACTGAGGAGATCAGTTTTTTACATTTATGATTACAGTGTTTTGCAGAATGCGATTCTCATTTTTTTCAATTTTGAGAATGGTTTAACTTTCAGTGCTTTGTACATATCTCCATTTTTTGATACTTTTCTAAGAACCTAAATTAAAAGCCTGGAAAAGTGGAGATGTTGTGTCCTCCTTTTAAAATTTAAAGGCAATAAAGAAAGGCACTAGGAAATATTCTAATAATATCAGGATAAAGGTTAAACTAATATATTACTCTGAACTTTATATATTTATAAATACATAACATCACTGTTAAAGTGCACGCAATCATATCATATATATCATATCATATCATATTTTAAATTGTGAAAAACAAGTAAAGATTCATTATTCAGACTAGGGAGAAACCAAACACATGCTAGAATACAGAACTAGGACACAGAGAGGCATGGATGACAACTGCAGACTGGTATGAGCCCTCTGATCCTGTCCAACCACAGCCATGTCTCCCGACACTTGCCCCTTGTCACTCCCCATCTGTGCTTCTTCAGCTCCCCCCCACCCAGCACCGACAGCTGCCGCCCTCGAGCCTTTCACCGTCAACTTCACCATCACCAACCTCCCCTACAATTCCGACCTGGAGAATCCAGACTCGGCAAGGTTCAAGTCTGCACAACGAGTCATGAACACCTTGGTGAGTGGACCATCACTGGGAGATTGCCTTGCCCCCTCTGCCCTCATAACCTGGCGGGAGGCAGGGGCCTGGGCATGGTTTAACTGTGAAACCCTCCCCTTGGCAGCTCGACCGCCTGCTGAAGGAAACCAGCATTGGCCCCAATTTCCAGGGATGTGAAACAAGAGCCTTCAGGTATGAGTTGCACCTCAGTGTCCCTTTGAAAGTCCTTGCTCAGATGAAAGGGTCCATTCTTGTTGTATTCAGTTGGTGCTTAGTCTATGGAGGCAGGACCTCTCTATGATGCTGTCCTGTCTCTGAGGTTCCCTCTACTCTTCACTCTACTTGCTGATACTGTAGGCCTAAGATGACTCTAAAGTCATGCCTGAAAGGGCCACAGAAGTCCCAAGACCCAGTCCTGATGTGAGAAGGCACAGAGAAGGGTGCTCATTAATGTCACGATGTTTTGCAGGCCGGGCAGCCAAAGGGACGAGACCCGGGTGGACGCCGTGTGCACGTACAGGAAGGAGCCCTCGGCTCCACCTTTGGACAGGGTGGGCCTGTACCACCAAGTGAGCAACAAGACCAGAGGCATCACCCAGCTGGGCCCCTACAGCCTGCACAAGGACAGCCTCTACGTCAACGGTGACCCGCGCTCCTCTCTCTGCCCCCTCTGCTCTCCCCCACCAGCCAGCCCCAGTGCTGCCCCTTGCCCAGCTCCAGCTCCTGACCCTCTGTCTCTCTCTTTTCCCAGGCTACAACGAGCAGCCAGTCCTGCCCAGTGAGTACCTTGCTGGAACTCAGAGGGCAGCAAGTGCCTCGTGGGCTCCACTTTCAGTCAGGGGGTGTTGGGGGCTGGGACTTGAGGACCCAGAGAGACGCAGGGAGCCTGAAAGCCTTTCCAATGGACTGGCAGGAGACCTCTGCACTTGTCCAGCCACAGTCCTGTCACCCTCACTCTGCTCCCTCCTCACTCCCTATCTCTGCATTTTGCAGCTCCCCCCCACCCAGCACCGACAGCTGCCGCCCTCGAGCCTTTCACCGTCAACTTCACCATCACCAACCTCCCCTACAATTCCGACCTGGAGAATCCAGACTCGGCAAGGTTCAAGTCTGCACAACGAGTCATGAACACCTTGGTGAGTGGACCATCACTGGGAGATTGCCTTGCCCCCTCTGCCCTCATAACCTGGCGGGAGGCGGGGGCCTGGGCATGGTTTAACTGTGAAACCCTCCCCTTGGCAGCTCGACCGCCTGCTGAAGGAAACCAGCATTGGCCCTGATTTCCAGGGATGTGAAACAAGAGCCTTCAGGTATGAGTTGCACCTCAGTGTCCCTTTGAAAGTCTTTGCTCAGATGAAAGGGTCCATTCTTGTTGTATTCAGTTGGTGCTTAGTCTATGGAGGCAGGACCTCTCTATGATGCTGTCCTGTCTCTGAGGTTCCCGTGTCTTCCTCTACTCTTCACTCTACTTGCTGATACTGTAGGCCTAAGATGACTCTAAAGTCATGCCTGAAAGGGCCACAGAAGTCCCAAGACCCAGTCCTGATGTGAGAAGGCACAGAGAAGGGCGCTCATTAATGTCACGATGTTTTGCAGGCCGGGCAGCCAAAGGGACGAGACCCGGGTGGACGCCGTGTGCACGTACAGGAAGGAGCCCTCGGCTCCACCTTTGGACAGGGTGGGCCTGTACCACCAAGTGAGCAACAAGACCAGAGGCATCACCCAGCTGGGCCCCTACAGCCTGCACAAGGACAGCCTCTACGTCAACGGTGACCCGCGCTCCTCTCTCTGCCCCCTCTGCTCTCCCCCACCAGCCAGCCCCAGTGCTGCCCCTTGCCCAGCTCCAGCTCCTGACCCTCTGTCTCTCTCTTTTCCCAGGCTACAACGAGCAGCCAGTCCTGCCCAGTGAGTACCTTGCAGGAGTGGGCTGGGCAAAGAGGGCAGAAAGTCGTGTGTGAGGGTCTTCTTTTGAGTAAAGGAGTCTGGGGGCTGGGGCTTGGGATCCTGGGGAGAGGTAGAGAGCCTGAAAGCCTTTCCAATGGATAATTGGGCTGGCAGGAGACCTCTGTGCTTGTCCAGCCAAAGCACTGACCCCCTGGCTCTTGGCCTGTTTTCACTCCCCATCTGTGCTTCTTCAGCTCCCCCCCACCCAGCACCGACAGCTGCCGCCCTCGAGCCTTTCACCGTCAACTTCACCATCACCAACCTCCCCTACAATTCCGACCTGGAGAATCCAGACTCGGCAAGGTTCAAGTCTGCACAACGAGTCATGAACACCTTGGTGAGTGGACCATCACTGGGAGATTGCCTTGCCCCCTCTGCCCTCATAACCTGGCGGGAGGCGGGGGCCTGGGCATGGTTTAACTGTGAAACCCTCCCCTTGGCAGCTCGACCGCCTGCTGAAGGAAACCAGCATTGGCCCCGATTTCCAGGGATGTGAAACAAGAGCCTTCAGGTATGAGTTGCACCTCAGTGTCCCTTTGAAAGTCCTTGCTCAGATGAAAGGGTCCATTCTTGTTGTATTCAGTTGGTGCTTAGTCTATGGAGGCAGGACCTCTCTATGATGCTGTCCTGTCTCTGAGGTTCCCGTGTCTTCCTCTGCTCTTCACTCTACTTGCTGATACTGTAGGCCTAAGATGACTCTAAAGTCATGCCTGAAAGGGCCACAGAAGTCCCAAGACCCAGTCCTGATGTGAGAAGGCACAGACAAGGGTGCTCATTAATGTCACGATGTTTTGCAGGCCGGGCAGCCAAAGGGACGAGACCCGGGTGGACGCCGTGTGCACGTACAGGAAGGAGCCCTCGGCTCCACCTTTGGACAGGGTGGGCCTGTACCACCAAGTGAGCAACAAGACCAGAGGCATCACCCAGCTGGGCCCCTACAGCCTGCACAAGGACAGCCTCTACATCAACGGTGACAATTTTTTTTCTAGTTTCTGTAATTTTCCTGTTTTCCTATTTACTGATATTATTTTATTTCTTGTCATACTCTTTCACTAAGAATTCCATTTTTTTCTAACTTTTTTGGCTCTTCCAATCAACCGTATGTTTCATATTTTTTGTTGGGTGTACGCGTCATGCTCCTATACTGGTTTGTATTTTATTTCCTTCTGTATAAATGGTGGAATGGTTTGGGTTGGAACAGATCTTAAGGATCATCTCATTCCACCCTTTTGCCATGGACAGGGACACATTCCACTAGACCAGGCTGCTCCAACCTGGTCTTGGACCCTTCCAGGTATGGGGTAGCCACAGCTGCTCTGGGCAACCTGTGCCAGGGCCTCCTCACCCTCACAGGGAAGGATTCCCTCCCAGTATCCCACACAAATTTCCCCTCTTTCTCTTTGAAGCTACTCCCCCTTGTCCTGTCCTTCCATTCCTTGTCCCCAGTCCCTCTCCTGGTCTCCTGGAGCCCCTCCAGGCTCTGGAAGGGGCTCTCTGGTCTCCCTGGAGCCTTCTCTCCTCCAGGGGAACACCCCCAGCTCTCCCAGCCTGGCTCCAGAGCAGTGGGGCTCCAGCCCTTGGAGCATCTCCATGGCAAGGGGTGGAACAAGATGATCTTTAAGGTCCCTTCCAACACAAACCATTCTGGGATTCTGTAACTACAGAAGCCATAAAACCTGCAGGGGAGCAAGAGCAAACGGGACCAAAGCAGAGGAGCCACTGTCACCCACAGCCTTTGACCTTCTGATTGCTTTGCACTCAGTAACATATCAAAACACACCAGAGGTCATTGCCGGGAAAATACAAGGATTGACCTCCCAAGGTCAAGGAACAGCACTAGAACTGAACGGCACTTGACAAAATCATACAGAAGTTGCCAGTCTAGAAGTCAAATGGTTCCCTGCCCATGGCAGGGGTTTGAAACAAGGTCATCTTTAAGGTTCCTTCCAACCCAGACCATTCTGGAATTCTAAACTGGATTTAGGGAATGGGTAATTCCCTCTCAACATCCCTAGGAAAGGGAAAATTCTGTGCAGTACTAAGAAAAGCAGCAGCTTGCCAACAATATAGAGCAGGATGAATGTGCATTTATGCACAGATTGTCATCAAATCAGTTTTTCATATCAAATATTTACACAGGACCTCTCAGAAAAAACCTGTTCCAGTTCTGTATTGAAACGTGTGCCAGACCTTCCAAATTGGAAGCAGGTTTCTCAAATATGTCCCTTTTCTTCCCCCCACAGGTTACAATGAGCTGCAGCCTGAGCTATGTAAGTACCTTTGAAGAGCTGTTGAAGTGGCAAGAAGATTTTGCTCATTAGCAACAGCCAAAAAAAGCAGGTTGGACCAAGCAACCAAGAGTTCTGCTAGATTTATAAAACAGTGTTCAGAGAATTCAGGAGCCTGTTATGGAACCACATGTTCTCCAACCTTGAAGCCAAATAGAATATCTGAGAATTTTTCCTATAGTGTTTCCTCTTGGTGTGATGATCATAAATTGGACTTTCAAGCATTGACTTTCCTTTCTCATTGCAGTTGCTGCTCAAAATGCACAACCACCTCTGCCACCAGCAGTGAGGAACTTCACTTTGAATGTCACTATAACCAACCTCCCGTTCACTGCAGATATGGCAACACCAAATTCCAGGAAATTCAAGTCAACAGAAAAAGTCATGTCCTATTATGTAAGTCAGGCAAAACCATGTCCTGCTTGGGCCTAGTTCTTTTAATATCTCTGATCTCTCACCTTTGCTGTGACATTTGACCTAATTACATGTTATTGTTGAATTTCTAGGTTGACCCTTTACTCCAAAGAAGCAGCATTGGCCCTGCTTATATTGGGTGCAAAGTAATGGCATTCAGGTAAGAGCCATGTCTCCATGACCTGCTTCTTAAAATGTTCCTTCCCATTTCTCAGCACTCAACACGTCTGAGTGGTTTTTTTTAATTGGTAGTTTTGCCTCTGAGTGTTTTTTTTTAATATATATCTTTGATCATGTCCTAAAAGTTAAGATGAATTTCTCAATAATGGCTAAGACACCTAGAACTTTGCCTCATTTCCCAGGTCAAATAAGAACAGGGATGACACAGCAGTAGATGCCATGTGCAGCTGTAGAGATGAGCCTTCAGGTCCCAAATTCAACAGAGAAACCATTTACCATGAGCTGAGCAACATGACAAATGGCATCACCAAGCTGGGACACTTCAGCCTTAACAGCCAGAGCCTCTACATTGATGGTAACAAACCACCCCAAGTGTTATTCCAATGAAGTTGTGGCTGCCCCATCTCTGGAAGTGCTTAAGGCCGTGTTGGATGGAGCTCTGAGCACCCTGGTCTTGTGAAAAGTGTCCCTGTCCAATGAAGGGGGTTGGAATGAGATGATCTTTAAGGTCCCTTCCAACCCAGACCATTCTGGGATTCTGTGTTAGAATCGTAGACTCGTTAAGGTTGGAAAAGGTCTCTCATCATCAAGTCCAACCTTCAGTGTTGACACAGAGTAATTTGAAATGAAAATGAAGAGGATTTTAATACACCTCTCAAAAGCAGATAAAAAAAAGTAGAAGGCAAAAACCTGTCAGAGTCACAAAGTTACAAGTCATGAATTCAATAACTACAATCTTGTAATAAAACCCCATGTATTTAGTCCTGCCGAGACTTTCTTGGAATATTTTCCCAATAATTGTCCATTTGTTTTTCAGATTACAATGAACCACACAGTCCGTCATGTAAGTATATTTAAAGACATGTTAAAGCTACTCAAAGGCATAAATTGAGTTTGCTTCCCCCTGATTTGGCAATGTTTGTAACATTGCAAAGTGTATGATCACGCTCATATGGCTCTTTGCTCTCAGAAACTTAATAACAGCCCTGTGTCTTATGCAGATTCTGTTCTTATTTAATCTGGGTGGTTTTTGTTCTCTCAGTGGTGAAACCAACCCCCCCACAAAGTCCAGGACCAACAACAGAGCACTTCACCCTCAACTTCACCATAACCAACCTCATGTTCACGAGAGACCTGGAGACACCAAACTCTGCCAAATTCCGTTCCACTGAGAGGATAATGCGACACTACGTAAGCCAAAGTCACGTTGTTTGTCACTGAAATCACCCAGAATTTGGGGTTTCCCCTGTTCACAAAGATTTTTCCTTGTCAGATTGACCCCCTGCTTCAGAGGAGCAGCATTGGTCCCTATTTCTCTGGCTGCAAAGTAACAGGATTCAGGTGAGCAATAAACTGAAAGATTAACTTTGAACTGCAGCAAATGGATTTCCTTAAGTTTGACTGATACTTCCTTTTCCTTTTCCTTTTCCTTTTCCTTTTCCTTTTCCTTTTCCTTTTCCTTTTCCTTTTCCTTTTCCTTTTCCTTTTCCTTTTCCTTTTCCTTTTCCTTTTCCTTTTCCTCTTTTCCGTTTCCTTTTCCCTTTTCCGTTTCCTTTTCCTCTTTTCCTTTTCCTTTTCAAGTAGTTTTCATCACTATAATAAAGCTCCTATGCACCCTTCTATTGTCTTTTTCTTACAAAGCCTTTTTCTTTGTAAGACCATACATTTGTAGTTCATCTGAGGACTGTGGACAGATTTATTTGGGTTTTTTTTAATCACATCAGAAAAAAAATATATTTTTTAATAACTAACAGAAGTTTCATGATATTGAATTCCTTAGGGCAATGAAGAAGAGGGATAGCACAGGAGTAGACACCACCTGCAGCTACAGCTCCCAAGTGCCCAAGTTTAACCCAGCTGAGGTTTACCGAGAACTGAGGAACATGACAAGCGGCATCACCAAGTTAGGAATCTACAACCTGGACAGCAAGAGCCTCTATATCAATGGTAAGTGTTTGATTTTCTTGTTCCTCTGGGCACTGAGCAGTTTGGGACCACCTGGGGTCTCAGGGATCACTTCAATGTTAAAAAAGTGGCCCTGAAGGAGAAGATCCCACTGGAATTTTCTGTGTAAGATGAAGTGTAAGCTTTAAAATCTTTTCACACAGACATTTTTGAAGACTTTAATTTCTATATTGCATTGAAGAGTGACTTAATTTTAGTCTTGACCTCAGTCATTCACCTGCACGTGAACATTTCACCTGCTTTCTATCCCACCAGTATTTAATTACACAGCACACGGCCGTTTTCTCATCGTAGTCACCAGTAAAGCACCTTGTTCTGCTTAAGCTTTGTTTGTTTAATAGATTCACACCCTGGGGGGGGGGGGGAGGGGGGGCAGGTTCTGATGATTCACTCCCAAATCATCCATTTAATCATCCCCTCTCCACTTTCATTCTCTTAAGTGGATGGTTCTCTTACATAACATTGGAGATTTTTAAACGCAGATTGGACGTGGCACTGAGTGCCATGATCTAGTAAATGGACTGGATTTGGACCAAGGGTTGGACTCGATGATCTCGGAGGTCTTTTCCAACCCAATCGATTCTATGATTCTATGATTCTATGATTTCTCTTGCATTTCCTTTCCAGGTTACAACGAACCACTTCAGAGATCAGGTAAGTATTTTGCTGAATTCGCTCCAGGGAAAGGTGTCAAAGGAGCGGTGCCCTCAGAAAATAACAGGGGAAGAGATTATTGAGAGGGGAAGACATTATCCAGAGTAGCCTTGAAACGTGCTGGGGTTGGGAATGTCTTTGAAAGTGAAGGTAACTCTTTTGTAATAAATTCATAATCCTTTTTCCCTTTGATTACAGCTCCAAGCACAACTACTGCATCAGGACCAACAACCAGAAAGTTCACCCTTAACTTCACCCTGACCAACCTCCCGTACACCCCAGACCTGGATGTCCCAACTTCCCGCAAATTCATTTCCACAGTGAATGTTCTCAACCACTATGTGAGTCTGGCTCTGGGTTTGCCCATTTGGGGTTTTGGTGCTGCCCTTAATCCACCTGCATTAAGCTCAGCACCTGATTTCCAGTTCTCAGCTGTACTATTGTTTCCCCTGACAGATTGACCCTCTGTTCAAAAGAAGCAGCGTAAGCTCTGCCTACACAGGATGTAAAACTATGAGGTTCAGGTAAGACTCAGAATCTCAGGATGGGTCAGGTTGGAAGGGCCCACAGTGTGCCCGGAGCACATGGCACAGGAGTGTGTCCAGATGGTTCTGGAATATCTCCAGGGAGGGAGGCTCCACACCCTCTCTTGGTGCTTGGTCACTGCACAGGGAAGTTCTTCCTCATGTTCAGGTGGAACTTCCTGGGCATCAGTTCCTGCCTGTTGCATCTTAATACTTGACACCAACAGAAGTCTGGCTCCGCCCCCTGACACCTCCCTAATAAAGATACTGAAAGTATCTTTATTTTTCTGATACTAAAAGTATCTGAAAGTACCTTAAAAGACTCCTGAAAGTGGAATTAACCTTTATCTGCTCTTACATACCTTAAATTTGCATAAATTATCATACTTGTTCTGATGTCAGAATAGAGAAGCCTCCCTGTGGACACCTCCCTGTCCATTCACGATGGTAAAATCATTTTGGGATCTAAATGTCATCAGCACAATTCTAAAGTGTGGTGAAAGATGTAGGAGCCCAATTACAGTGATTTTGGTGTCATTCCTGGTCATACAAACCACACAGAGTGTCCTAAAGAATGTGTCTGATGTTTTTGCTCAGGTCTGGGAGACACAGGGATGACACAGGAGTAGATGCCATCTGCAGCTACCAGGACAGTGCCAGCCTGGCCAGGTTTGACAGGGAACAGGTTTATTGGGAGCTGAGCACCATGACAGAGGGTGTCACCAAACTGGGGCACTACAGCCTGGACCAGAACAGTCTGTATGTCAATGGTGAGTATCCATGAACAGATCAGGATTTTGGGATCTCTTGGAGATCACTCCCCATCACTCCACTGGGGCTGGAGCACTGAGGAACCCTCTGGTTTGTTGGTTTTCTGTAGGTTTTGACACTGTGGCAAAACCAATCCAGCAGCATCTTGCCATTCTAGAAGCATCTCCAACCCTTAAATCATACAAATTCCTGGAGAATTTCATTATTATATTATATAATCTAAGCAGAGCCACACATATATTGTTTTTATGGTATAGATAGATCTGATGTAAACATAAATGCACTCTGTCTTTTCTATTTAGGTTTTCCCCTCACAGAAACAGCTACCACCAGAAAGCCAGTCTTTGTTGTAGCTCCAGCCAAACAGGGCTACAGACTGAGCTTTAGAATAGTCAATGAAAATCTAACCAACCCAGACTCTCAGTCTCCAGAGTACAAAGCAGCAGTGGAAAGCATCACTAACAAGGTGAGGAATTGCAGCTCAAATACCACCATGTTTGGTCAATTTTTTGCCATAGTTTTATGTCTTAATTAAAAAAAAAAAATCAACATTTAGGAACAAAAATTTCTAGAATCTGAAAGATGAGATTGACCTTTGAATCACTTTTTGTTATGTTGGATGTTGCACCTCGTGGGTGCCATCCCTGCCCATGGCAGGGGGTTGGACCTGGATGATCTTTAAGGTCCCTTCCAACCCAAACAATCCTGGGAATCTGGATTAATAAATTATGTCCAGCCAAAGACACGGACAATGAAATACAGGAGGTTTGGGTGATATGTTCAATGCACAGGGACTCAGCATTTCAGTCCCATCTCCAGAAGTGTTTGCAAATCCCTGCCAGCTCGGAGTCAACACACCCATAACTCACTGCTGGGAATCCAACACATTCCCTTCAGCCCCAACCCAACCTACCAGACTGATCACGCCCTAATTTTGCTCTTTAGGTGAAACTGTAACACACTGTACTTGGAATTCTGGGTGTGTGAGGTGTGCATGAGTTGACAGCTGCCAGTCAGCAGACTGGGCTCTTTAACACTGGCAGCTCGCTCAGATAAGGCAGAAGATCTGCCAGGCTGGGAGTCAGATTCCATCACTAGAAGGCACGTTCCAAAGTCAAAACCAATTCCCATGAAATCCAACCAGCAAAAAAAAACCCCAAAGCCTGGGCTTTCCCCAGCATTCAAGTCCCTCCTACTGCCTGAAGCACCTTTGCAGAGTGCCCTGGGCTCATGAATCTTTACCATGACATTTGTGTTGCAGATGAATCAGCTGTACCGGCAGAGCGACCTGCGGGACCAGTTCCTGGGCTGCAACATCACCCGCCTGAGGTCTGGGGTGGGATCTGAGTGTGGCTGAAGGGTTGCCACTCCCTGGCACCCCTCCCCCATGGCCAAGTGCCATTGTCCCCTGTGGAATTCCTCCCCTTCCTTCTCATGTTGGAACTTTATGCCCTAAGAAGTCATTTCTAGGCTTCATTTGTCGGTTTGAATTTTTTCTGACTTGTTCTAAACTGATATTTTTCTCAGTCTCAGTCAGGCATTCTCAGGTTGCTGACTATCCCAGGAATTACTGATTCCCATCCTCTTAATGGGAACTGATGATCCTGTAACCTCTGCACTCCCCCTCTTCACTTGAACTCCACTAGGCTTTAAAAGTGGGCTTCAGGTATAGCCGTAGTGTCCAGCTCTGGGTGGAAAGAGGCTTGGACAAGGGACCCTCCCAGAGGGTAAAAGCTTTTAAAAACCCCAAACTGCTGATCTTTCATTGTGTTCATGCAGTAAAGCCTAAGTTCCTAGAGAGAACAGGTGGTATTTCCTTTGCTGTCCCTGCCCAAGGCAAAACCCCCCATCAGCCCATTCCACGCCATCATTCCACCCCGTTACTTCCAAACAGAGCAGGAACCTTTCAGGAAACTCTTTCCCATGTGAAGTTTTGTGATCATCAGCCTCTTTACCACAGAACTTCTGTTCCTCTGCCCACAGGGCTGGATCCATAGTGGTCGACTGCCAGTGTTTCTTCCACCCTGAACCCAACATCAACAGGGTCGTGGTTGAAAGGACCTTCCAGGACGGGACTTCCAATGAAACTGGGCTGTGGCTGGGGAGCAGCTACAGGCTGCAGGAATTCTCAGTGGACAGTACGTAGAGCTCAAATCTCTGCCCAGTGTCCACCCAGTCACCTCACTTTGCCATGGAATGCTCAGAATTCCCCAATTTCTGGCCTATTAGAGTGGAAATAAATCTGGTTTTAAGTTGAACTGCTGAGTTCAGCTCTAAGTTGGGCCATTCAGACATTTAGTCTGGCTCAGTGTAGCCCTTGAGTCTTCAATGGCTTAAGATCTTATTCAATGATAAGTAGTTAGTCGATATTAAGGTGTTATTCAGTATTAAGGTGTAATTCAATATTAAGGTGTTATTCAATTTTAAGGTGTTATTAATTTTTAAGGTGTTATTCAATATTAAATAATTAGAAAATGAAGTGGCAACTACTCATCAGAACTTCAACCATTTAGAGATAAACAGATTTTCAGGGTTTTTTTCCAACCTACAGCATCCCAAATAAAGGAGTGGCTGAAGGACTGATTGGGAATTTCCTGTCAGACTAGTGAAAGTCTTTGGTAGAAGAGCCCTAGTTTCTCTCTGTTAGAATTTATACTGACTTTTCCCCTCCATTTTCCAGCCTTGGAATTAGCAATTGAGGCAGCAACTTACAAAACACCCCTCAAATCTGGGAAAGAAAACTTTGGCTTGAATTTCCAGATCTCCAGCCTGCCCTTCTCGCCACAGCTGCAGGACCCCAGGTCACACGTGTACCGAGTGAACAAAGAGAACATCGAGAAAGAGGTGAACTGAGCAGCAGTAGCTCGAACTCCCTGTCCAAAGGATGTGTTCAACTGACTCTGTTTTCCTCCACTGTTTTGTGTTTCCTGTCAGCTCGATGTGTTCAGGACCGGCCGCCTGAAGGAGCACTTTGCCGGTTGTACCGTGGAGAGTTTTGGGTAAGTCCTGCTTGGAAGTGGCTTTTCCTTGAGCCCCAAAGAGCAGTTCAGGAAGGCATTCAGGGTCACAGCAGGGTGTTCACGCCTCCCTGGGGACCTTTGTGCTCCAGATCACACACAGGAAGCACCTTCATTCAAGTTCTGCTTTTACCACAAAAGGTTTCTGTCCAAACGAGAGGTGGTTTTGTTTCCGTGCTTGCACAGCATAAACAATTCCGGAGGAAAACAAACACGTTCATTCTCTTATTTCAAGTACTCAAATACACTAAAATTCCACAGACACACATTAGCAAAACAATGAGTGGGACTGACCCTGCCCAAGGACAGGATCTGCTGTGTGTGTCTCCTCCAACACCTCTTTGGAGGAACAAAGAAGCCGAGTTGATTTACCTCTTAGAAATGGGGATTAACTCAGTGGGTGGTTTCACAAGGCTGCAAGAGCTCCTGTCTCGCCTGGAATAAACTCAAAAAGTGATCCCTTGCTAATAAAACACCGCTGAGACATCTGCAAACCTGAATCTCCCACTCAGCTCTGCTTCTTCCTCTCTTCTCCATAATGACTCTGTGCCTGTCACTCTCCAGGCCTGTCCATGGGAGAGGATACACAGAAGTCTTCTCCATCTGCAAGTTCACCCTGGATCCCCTCTCAGGGTCTTTACAAAAGCAAGAGGTGTTTGAGGAGCTGAAACAACTGACCCAGGGGTTCACCAAGCTGGGCCCCAGCTACGAGCTGGAGGAGCAGAGTCTGGTTGTTGAAGGTGAGAGCTCTGCAGTGACATTTGGGGGATTCTTCTTGGTTTTAATAAGCTCCAGAGGCTTCTGTTTCTCATCTGTCCCATTCTTTATTTCCAGGTTATTCTCCACTCAAGACAAATGAACCAGAGTCTGAAAGATCTGGTAAGTGCTTTTTGGAAGGGATTGACCCTACAGCCACTGCAGACTTGAACTAGAATAAATTAGCATTACATGCCTTGAAATGGAGACTAGACCCTTGAAATGGAAACTAAACCCATGGAAGAGACCCAAAATCTGGGCCTCTTGGTAGGCTGGCAGCAAACAGTGGGTACCACCAGAGCCAGCCAGCCTGAGGAGATGAAGGACAGGCAAAACCAGTCCAATGTGGGAAGATGTTTTAAAGCTCTGGCACCAATAAATGTTTATAACTGCAGTATTTATAAAAAAAACCCCTAAAAATCCCTAGATATGGTGTTGTAAAGACAGCCACCACCCCAGAGCTAACAGTAAACAGGAGAAAGAAAAAAAGTACTCTGAAGTGTTGCTTTTTTGTGCACCACAAACACATTGGCAAAATGACAGCTTTTGCTGCCACCCTTAGCCCTGTCCCCTTCCCCAAAAGAGTCCAACCAGCAGCTAAGAGAGAACTTTGTCTCTCTGAACATCCTTGAAACCCTCTGAGGGCTCGGACTGTCACATTTAAAGTGGTAGATCCTCAGACCCTCACTCCATTTTACCCAAGTTTCTGTAATTTGGCCTCAGCACTGTTGAACTTTGCCAGGGAGAGATTTCCCACTCTGAATCCCCTGTGGATGAGTCCAAACATCTGATGTGCTCTTATTTTCCCTTTGCAGAGCTTCAGTTCTGGGCCATCATCCTCATCTGTGTTTTCACCCTGCTTGGCTTCATCCTCCTCCTCTTCTTATGCTTCCTGGTGAGTGTCCCCTTCGCTGTCCCACCTCTCCCTGGACTCCAGCAGTGCCCAGACACCTGGGGACTCACAGGAGGGACATCCACATTCACAAGAAGCCCAGTGGGAACAGTATTTAACACCCCAACAGCAAATGAGATGCCAAATCCTGTTGTTACTGCCAACTCTTCCAAGGACTTGAGCACAGGAGGATGGGGAAGGGAATTTATAGTCAGCTGAGTAGATTTCTAGGAAAGGAAGCAGGATCTTCTTTCTAGAAAAGCAGCAGGATCATGACTGAGCTCGAGTTTTTGCAGAGAGAAAAACAGAAACCCAAAAGTGAGGCCAAGCCCAAGATGACAGGTGGAATTAGGGCATCCCCTGCAGCACTTCTTAAACCTCTTTCCTCTTCAGTATCTGCAGAATGATAAGGTTACAGGCAAGGGAGGGCCAAAGACAACATATTTCATAACCACATCAAGAATTTCGTGCTCAGTGCTCTTAACCTGCAGATTGTGCAGCCTTGCAGGGCCAAACTCCAGCTGTATATCCTTGGAAAAGTCAGTACCCCCCCTTCCCATCTCTGGGAGTGGTTTAATGGGCATCAAAATCTCAACAGCACTGTTTCAAAAGCAGCTGTTTGCTTTGCAGCAGCTAAAGGGAAGGGCTATATCTACAGAGAATAAGAATACTCTCCTTAGAGGTTCAGGAGTGAAAATTCCAGCCAGGGAGATTTAGGAGAGGAAAAACCTCCATCTCAGAGCTGGGGGTTGTGCCAGTGTCATCCTCGCAGCTTTAGACAAATGTCTCATTCCCAAAGTCCCTCCAAATGTAGTTTGGAGGCATCTAATGATGGGCAAAGCACAGATTCCTATTTTTGCCATTAATTTTGTCCTTTTCTCTCCAGGTCATCTCTTGCCTGAGAAGAAAGTCCCACTTATACCAGGTCCAGCAAGGCTTGTATGGGTTGTACTTCCCACACCTGAGCACAGGAAAAGTGCATTGACAGATGAAGTTGGGTCCTCACAGACCTGTTTGTCCACTGATGAAGGAAGAATATTTATAAATACTAGAAAAATGTTTCTTTAATAAATTATTTTCAGCATTTTCTCTCATCTTGAGACGAATCTTTGCACTATTGCCAGAATTATTTTCATACTACAGGAAACTGCCAATAATGTAGATGCTGAGGAAAGTGGTTTTTTTTAAAGCACTGCAGTATTTTAAAGTATTGCACAATCAACAGAGAATAAAGACCACGAAAAGGTAAAATTCTGCTCTACAGAGCTGCAGTTTGCAAGGCCCTTCAGTGTTAACGTCAGTTTTCTGAAAAAGGCTTAAAATTATACTAATTTGTAGATTTTTGGGGACTGACTGTTGTAGCCTTAGAAATTTCACCTAGATTTTAGCTTTGTCACGACTTAGCTTTTGAAATGTAAATATCTTAAATTAACTAAAATATTTCATATCTTAAATTAATTAAAATATTTCTATTTATAATTATGACAAGAGATGAGATACAGATGCATTGTTAAATCTGAGTGGGACGCAGCCAAGCTGTGTCTGTGGAGATTGCTGCTGATTCCAGTTGAATAAATGCAACATTTACTGCCATGAAGTCCTGTTTCCTCTGCATTGACACTTTTCACCCCTAATCACAAATTATGCCCTGTGGAAATCCCTGGTTGTTTGCTCCTTGGTTGTCAGCCCAGAGTGTGGGGTTTGATTCAGAGACCAGGACCTCCTTCTGCCCCTCCAGCTCATCTCAGCCAGACAGAATTCCCCCAAAATTCCCTTTTTCTACCCCAGCTCTCTGCAGGAGACAGAGCTGATCTCTGTGTAATTATATGATACTACCATTAGATGAACTCCCCACTGAAAGTGAAAGCATTAGAATTAATGAAACCACGATTAGTCATTAATCCTCCCACTCCAGGCAATGTTTCTACGAAACCAAACTGACTTTTGGGCTTTCACAGTAAAGCTCAGGTTGGACTAGTTCTTCCCCCGGCTCAGTTTCCTCCACAGAGGATTAGAAACCTGTTTGCTCGATCAAACAAAGGCTTTCAAGCACCAATTATGTCAGCAAACATCAGATTAAACGCCTGCAGAGCTGCTTGCAAAACACCTCTGCAGGTGTCCTGTCACTGGGGGTGTCCTGGCTGGAGCTGCCACCGTGTGACAGGAACTCTGGGGGTAGGAAGGACTTCCCAGCTCGGGGTCTGACCAGGGGCAGTCAGGAGCTGATCTAATGCAGAGAAGCTTTAGCCCTGATGCAACACAGCAGCACCCAGCTCTGCCTGACCTGTCTGTGGGGATCCAAAGAGCCAAGGAAACCTTCCTGTGAGACCCCATTTCCCTAAGGAATTGTTCAAACATGCCTTTCTGCAGGAACATGCCAAACATCCCCCTGGTACCAGCACTCACTGGCAGACCGGGCTGTGCCAGGTACCTCCAACCCCACAGACCTCTGCCAACATGGGCAGGGAGTCAAACCCCAACCCCCACAACTAAAGCTGAAACCCCCCGAGGAAGGGGCACCAAGAGAGGGGAAAGTGGCTGAGGAGCTGAGAAAGCAGCAGTTGCAGGGAGAAGGGCCGAGCTCAAGCACACCCTGGGCACGGCTGGTGCCCACGAGCCTCACTGGGGCTGCTTTCCAGAAGGAAGGAGGCTCCACACACCGTGGTCCTCTTCAGCAGCCCCTGCCTGGGGTGGCCGTGAGCTCCAAGATGTGGTTGGACACCAGCCCACATTTGCTGTGGGGCTGCTCTTGCAAACAGGGGCTCCTGTGGGGCCAGGCCAGCTAAACAGTGACACAGGGGGCTCACCCTGCCACCCTCAGTGGGTGAAGAGGCTCAGTCTGACCCAGCACCACCTTTGCCTTTATTGCCCCTCTTCTCCTGCAGATGCACCAGGGCTTGTTCCTGAGCATTTCTGTCCTTGTATTTGTCCTCATTCCACTCATCTCAAGAGTCCCTGCTGCTACCAGGTGTGAACTGGCATCTGGCAGCACCAGGATCACCTCTTCTCCTGTTCTGGACCTGCCTGGCACTGCCTTGGTAATCACTGTCAAGTCAGACACAGTTTATCAATCTCCTTTTCAGCTCTTTAAACACGTTGTGCTGAACACTGGAAACAAGCCTGAAGTGCAGAGATAAGATTCAGCTGCCTCTCATCATTCTCCCCAGCAATTCCTAGTCAATTTGGCTCTCAGAGTTAGGAAAATGCTCCATCTGCTTTGGAAATAGAGGCCAAAAAGCCCTGTGTGCAGCAAGGACACCCTTCAGGGACTCACACACTGTAACCTCATGTTCTCAGCACCAACCCAGCACCATTTCCCAGCAGCAGAACTCCCTCCTGTTCCATCTTCCATGGGAAAACCAGGAACAACCTGAGCTGCTTGTCCATGGCAGGATCCAGACCACCCACTCCATCTCCCACCTGGTCCCAGCTTCACTGCTGGGATTTACAGCTCCCTAGGAAAGGGCATATCCTTCCTGCTCCCCCATCATTCCTCCATCACTAATTACATCTCATCAGCCTTTCCCCTGCCCTGCCCCGCTAGGAACCTCAGCCAGGAGAGCCCCAGGGTGCCCAGCCAGCAATTTAATTTGTGAAATGGCTGCTTCATCAGCAAATGTATCATTTTGTCAAAACCAATCACTGAATTCTATTCCCCTCCCATCAGCCTGCAAGAAGCAAATACAAATTTCACTCTGAGCCACTGCTGGGCCTTTGCACAAACTCACCTGGTCCTCTCTGGTAAAAACACCAGATTTAGGGGCAGCAGGAGGAAGAAAATTAGGAAATTGCATTTTTATGCTTAATTTGGGAGTTTCCACAAAGCATCAGTAGAAGGAGCACAGAGGCAATACAAGGTTTCGGCACTGCTGGGGCTTCCCTGTTGGAAAAGCAGCTGGATCTGTGCTGCAAAGGGCCAGACAGTGACCACACCACACAGGTCCTGTGGCCTGGTGTCACCTGGGTGGCTTAGTGTCACCTACATGCTGCTCAAACAGCCTTGAGCATCCTGGTGGGACTGAACTCACTCAGCACACAGAGGCAGAAAATCCCATCACTGGGGCTGGAGGTGCCTCCCCCCCTGTATCCACCCCTTCCCAGTTCCTCTTACCGGGTCTGAAGAGCCTCCCAGCAGTGCAGGACCTGGATCCCACCTGGGCCACCATCACCACCCACGTTGTTCTGCAGGACCCAGCCCAGCTCCTGACTTGTCCCAGGGACATCCCGCTCCGGCCTCTGCCCCACCCCGGCACTGCCAGGGGCCAGGCCAGGCAGCAGGGCCACAACTGCTGTGTGGGCACAGGGGGCATTCCCAGGGTGCAGACAGAACCAGCCAGCCCCAGGACCTGCCCCAGCAAGGCATGTCTGGGTCCTTTTTGGGGCAGGGCTGAGGTGCCTGGTAAGACCCTCTAACACAGGCAGGGGTTCCATTGGCACCACCTCAGAGCTGGTGATGTCACAGTTCCCTTTGTGACATTCCCCCCAATCCCACTGGTGGTGGAGCCTCATGGAATGTGTCCCCTCTCCCTGGGGATGTGTTGCCACCCAGCTCTGCAGGGACCCTGAGCTGGGGCTCCCCAAATCCAGTCCCAGGCCCAGCCTGGAGCAGGGACTCGCCCCCCGGGGTTTGCACTGTTCCAGTGGCACCAGGATCACCAGGCCTGGGCTCTGGGAGCACCACAACGTCAGGACACCTCTCCCACACCATGGAAAGGATTTTCCTAACTTGCCCAGGGGGCCAGGAAAGGCACTGCCATGAGCTGGGGACTGGAGGGAACGTGGGAGGGACTCGGGATGGAGGAGGGAGGGATGTGACAGGGACATTGCAGCGCTGCGGAGGGGATGGCACAGGGATGCTGCAGTGTGCTGGTTTAAAGGTAAACCGGCAGGGGAAATGAACCCAACTCAAAAGAGAGATTATAAGTCAGAATAACAATTTAATAAAATAATACAATAAGTACAGTTATACAGACAAACAATTGGTTTTAACCCACAAAACCCAAATGTATAACCCAGCACCCTGGGGCATGAACATAATGGTGTTCTTTGGGCCCCGAGTCCAAAGGAAAAGGAGAGGGAAAAACCTGTTGGTGAGAGTGCTGGTGCAGTCTGGTCAAGAGTGGTGGTTGCAGTCCAGTCGAGGGTGATGGTTGCAGTCTGGTTGAGAGTGGTGGTCACAGTCCTTCTCTGTTTCCCATGAGTGGTTAAAAAAGTCCCAAGACTCCAAGATTATATATCCTCCAGTTCAGGCAGGAATGCCCAGTGCCTCCCTCAGGGCGGGGAGTTCCACACTGGGTGTGAGGACAGGAGCACCCTCCTATCTCACAGGCCTCTGAACACCCAGTTTATGGCCTGAGGAGTCAGGGCTGCTCTGGGCAGAGGGTGCAAATAGTCTATTGATAACAGTTTCTGGGAAATGGCATGGAAGGCTATAGAATACACAGTTTTGGGTTCCACCCATACAGTGATGAACTGGTCCCAGCTGTTCTAACTAGGACATGCAGGAATGTTGCAGGGATACCAGAGGGATGCAGGAGGATGCTGCAGGGATGCTGCAAGAATACAGGAGGCATCTTGCAGGACACCTTCCCACGGCTCTCTGCCAAGTAAAGAGTGCTTTCCTCTCAGATTGACTCAAAGTGGCCACTTCATTTCCCTTGAAACTTTCCAGAGAACACAAATTCATCTCTCATTACAAACCCAGCCCCAGATCTGGGCCGCCTGGAGGAAGGAGTAGCTCTGGGATCCCACAGAGACACTCCCAGCCCTGGACACCCACTGGCTGCTGCCTCCCCAGGTGTCACCTGTGTGCTGAGCTGGTGGCACCATGTGCCCACGGGTGTCACCTCCTCTGGACATGGGCACCACTGAGCCACAGCATTACAAAAAATATCAACAACAAAAAATTCCCAAAGCGGATCAGGAAACCCCCTAGGACACTTGGGCTGGTGTGAGCCAGCACCAGTGAGGCACACTGGTGAGGCAGCACCAGTTCCTTTTCCACCACACTCCTGCCCAACAGCAGCTGATCCATCGAGCATCCTGGTGGGACTGAACTCACTCAGCACACAGAGGCAGAAAATCCCATCACTGGGGCTGGAGGTGCTTCCCCCCCTGTAACCACCCCTTCCCAGTTCCTCTTACCGGGTCTGAAGAGCCTCCCAGCAGTGCAGGACCTGGATCCCACCTGGGCCACCATCACCACCCACGTTGTTCTGCAGGACCCAGCCCAGCTCCTGACATGTCCCAGGGACATCCCGCTCCAGCCTCTGCCCCACCCCGGCACTGCCAGGGGCCAGGCCAGGCAGCAGGGCCACAACTGCTGTGTGGGCACAGGGGGCATTCCCAGGGTGCAGACAGAGCCAGGCAGAGCCA